TTAAAAAACAGAAAATTAATCAACTACAATTTTTTTCCCTATAATTTCAAAATAAACTTGAGAAAATAAATACTTAATTTCGAGGTTGAGTATGTTCTCTTTATGGATTTTTGTTAAAATCCCATAAATATATGAAATTCCTCCCAAAAATTAATTTTACAAAATTCCAAAAACTAATTTCTTAACAAACAACAAAAATTAAATTTGAGAATTAGTATTGTTCTCTTTGTAGATCTTTCTAAAATTCACAAATACATGAAAGTTCTCGGGAGTAAAGTAGTGTTTTCTTTATGGGTTCTTTCTATAAATTCCATAAATACGTGAAATTTCCCTTTTAAAATGAATTTCAATAATCAAAAGCAAATTTCCATTAAACAATTTAAAAACGAAATTTTCAAAACCACTTTGAAATTTTCTAAAAAATAAAAGAGAGATTGAATAGTGTTCTCTTATTGGAATTGGTTAAATTCCTTTAACACATGAAATTTCTCTCAAAGATAAATTTTCCATAACGACATTATGTCACCCATAATATTTTATTCATGTTTTATTTTTAAAATGTGGATTAATAAACATGAGACATTGAAAAATAAAATAAATAAACTTTTGTGGATCTTTAATAATTTAATAAATCGGATAATAAAGAACAAATTACTGGTAACCGTTTTTACGGGTACTGTAGGATGCTAATACCTTCCCTACACACAAATGACTCCCGAACTCAATCTGATTTACGTAGATCAATTTTATTTAATTTCTAATTGGGTGACCAATCACACCCTCAACATGATTTGTGGCGATTCCAAAATCTTTTATTTTAAGAGACTCTTGAAAGAGGGCATCGACCGCTCCGCGTTGCGATCATGTTGCGACATTAGGAATATTAATTGAATCACAAATATGGCCATAATAGCACCACCTAGCTTCGCTGCATCGGTCTCGTAGTAGCACATATCTTTATTTAGTGATCGTGATAGGGATCATGAGAGGAATTAGTAGACTAAAGCTGGCTAAAATAGTTATTTACTTCCATACATATACATACATACATATATCTAATATAATAGTTTATTTAGATCATTGAAATATAAGTTCATTAATAGTTATTGGATGTAACTTAGAGGTGTATGTAATTTGTATACAAGTGGATAAAATGAGCGGGGTGGCAAACACAATTGGTAGGTGTAATTCATCTTTTTAGAACTAAACAATGGGTTGACTTTTTAAATCTATTTTTCCTTGTGTTTTTAAATTATGTTTACTAAGAAATTCACCAATTTCTATTCCAAACCCGATTGCTCATTCAAACGATTTACAAATTCTTTTTTAAAAGAAAACTAGTTCCACGAACTTGGAGTATATCCATATTATTATTTGTGACACTGTGCACTTGTACTTACCCTCGAGCTATTAAGTAGGCGCAACACCAGTACACGAAGTTTGCCATTAACTTGACAAAAGTTCTCGAGATCAGAATTTGTATATTCCCCACCATTATCTAATTGAAGAACTTGAATTCGACATTGATACTGAGATTCCACCATTTTATATAGATCATGTAAAATAAAACCAACATCTCCCATTTTTCACAAGAGAGAAATCCAAATCATATGAGTACACTCATCAATAAATATCACAAAATAATGAGCACTAGATAAAGTAGGGATTTGAGTAGGTCCCCAAACATCAGAGTGGATAGTCATAAACGATGTAGCACTCTTATTCTAACTAGGCAGATTATAAGAAATTTTATGGTTCTTTGCCATTTCACAAATGTCACCATTAAACTTAGAATCTGCATGTAAAAACAAATTTGGTTTCAATTTGCAAAGATAATTAAAGGATAGATGACCAAGGCGACAATACCACAACAATGCCATATCTTTGTTTCCTTGACTTCCCTCGACATTATTTGCTTGACCATGTATCTGGTTGTTTTCAGCTGTCAAATTAAGATAGTACAAATTCCCTCGTCTAATACAAAAGCCAAGAGTCCGTTGTGTTGCAATATCCTAAAAACACATTTATCAGGTCAAAAAATTACGGTGCAATTCAAAGCTTTTGTGGTTCTGCTAACGGATAAAAGATTGGAAAGAGAAGGGGCTCAAGATTAATGAAATTTGACACATATACTGATATCCTTCGGTACTAACAGGTGCAACTCCTCCATTAGCAGTGAGTATGTGGTGTTGAGATGAAGAACAAATAGAGAAAAGATGGGTACAATCGTTTGTCATGTGGTATGTAGCACCTGTATCAATAACTAATGTATCATTCAAAGTAAGATAAGTTTTGGACAGACTAGAATTGTCAACCTTGGCTACATGTGCTGCACTTGTATTTGAAGTAGATGAAATCACTTCCTCATCTGTTGTGGTAGTAACAACAGCTTGTCCAATTTTCTTTCGAGGTTTCTTTGTAAAATCCCACCATTCAAGGTACGCAATAATTTCATAGCAACGTTGTTTGGAATGTCCCTCCTCACCACAATGAGTGCAAACATAATTACTCCCTTTAGGTGCTAGATCTTTTTTCCTTTGGCTTGTTGGGAATTTGCATGGCGAATACGTGCAGTCAAGTGAGCCATAGAATCTGACTGAGCCTTAGGTTCTTCCATTGTTGCCTCTGATTGTGATCCGAACATAAGCATAGCATGCCTAAAGATCAAAAGATGGATCTTTTCTCAAAACTTCACTTCGAGTTTGATTGAATTCGGGGTCAAGGCCAGCCAAAAAAACATGGACTCAAAGTCAAGTCAAATATTTACTAAGCGATGAGATTATAGCAGTATTATCTTCTTTTGTTTGAAGACGAACATCAATTTCCTGAAATATGCCAATCAGTTCATTGTAATATAAAGATAAGGATCTACCACTTTGATGAGTAGTAAACAATCTTCGATTCAACTCAAAGAGTTGTGTTTCATCTAAGCCATCATAAAATGTCTTTGTAACCGCTTCCCATATTTCTTTGGCTGTTTGAAGACGGATGAATCGTTGCATCAAAATCAGACTCATAGAGTCAACAAGCCAACTCTTAACCCGGATTATTATCAATAAGCCAAGTTTCCAATTGCTTATCATTTGCATCTGGTTTTGGAGTTGCACACAGTAAGATGTCCAGATTTGCTTCGAGCTCTAATATGCATCTCCGTAAGTGAGACCATAATGGAAAATTTGTATCATCTAAGATGATTCCAGATGGAAAAGGAGTATTGTCTTGGATTATAATTTGATATTCATGGGGAATAATAGATGAGGAAGATGAAGAAGATAGTCTTTTTCAGTCATGATTTACATAAAAAAAAAAAATCAAGTTCTACGTTTAGTATCGGTCTGATACCATGTAGAAAAATGGAGTGAGAAATATGTTTTAGTTGTCTTTCCTTCAAACAATTACAACCCTTATATAACAAAAAATGATACAACCATTAATAAGGCAACTAATTATAAATAGAATATTACATAATCTGTAAATATTCGAATGCAGATTTTTCTTCACATCAACAAACATTTAAGGTAAGAAAGACATTTCTTTCTTTTGAGATGTCGAACAATGTCGACATTTAACACACTAGTTCTATATATGTAGTATTTGTTTCACACATTTTTCTAATAAATTACTTGTTTAACATCCTTTTTAACCTGAGCATAAATGTATTTTTTTTTCTGGAATAAAAGATAGAAGAGTAGAGACTGTGAGTTAAAATCCCCACTCTACTAAAATAAATATTTATCATACTCATTCTCTTTCCTTTTTCTATATTTAAATTGCTTGCTTGATTATCCAACTTTCCATATTAATTAATATTTAACATACTCATTCTGTTTCCTTTTTCTATATTTAAAATTGCTGGCTTAATTACTCAACTTTCCATATTAATTATTCAATTTTAGTTTAATGTAATTTTCAATAATCATATGACATGAAAATCTAATTTATTTTTAAGCTAATTATTATTTTTAAGATTAAAATCATGATATTATGCAATTTTGAGTTGTAAATATTTTTTTTTATATTCTTTAAATCTATTGATATTTCATGTGTCCAAGCATAAAATTAAAATAAAAAATAGGAAATCAACTAAGATCTTTTCTAAAATTTATAAATAAATTGGACATAATAAATATTTAGTTTTCAAAGTTAAATATATATCGGTCTCTTTATTGATTTTTGTTAGAATTTCACAAATACTCGAAATTTCTTGTCAAAATTAATTTCACAAAATTCCTGTTCTTATATCCTATAACTATACCTTTACAGAAATTTAAAAAAAAATGATAAAATTTGAGAATGTATAATGTAATCTTTTTGTGAATTCGTTTCTAAAATTAAAAAATATGTGAAAATTCTCACGCAAACAAATACATCAAATTTCAAAATATTTTGAGAAAAAGTGGGTTAGATTTTCCTAAATTCTATAAATACATTGAAATTTCTCATTAAACTAAAATTTAATAATTTAGGAGGTTTCATTAAAATCAATTGAAAAATGAATTTCGACAATTGATGGCATCAAAAGAGATTGAGTCATGTTATCTTTTTTAAAATTAATTATTTCTTAAATATATGAAAATTTTCCCAAAGATCCGATAATGAAGATTAGAAAATTAAAAAAAAAAAATTAGATTTTTAAATATTTTTGGAGGAAACCATGTTTTTAATCAATATTTTATTTCTAAAATATGGATTAATATTGAAGAGACATTTAAAATTAAGATAAAATTATTAATTGTGGACCTTCACCAATTTAATAAGTTAGATAATAAAAGATAAAATATAAGTAACTGTTTTCACTAGTGTAGTATTCTATGTAGGGTGCCAACACACCTTTCCTACAGCAATATAACTTTCAGAGTTCAATTTTATTTAGGCAGACCCAACTTTTTTTTCTTTAATTATGTGGCCAATTATACTTTCAAAATGTCAAGAAAACTTTTGCGACGTTTCTTCGACTTTTTCGATGTATTTTTCGTCGGAAAAGACCTTTATTCTTGTAGTGTTTGCAAGAGACCTTTAAAATAAGACGTTGGCCCATCATGAACATCATAATCAACACAACTTTCGCTTCTGCTCTCTCAATATTGCATACAATACATCTAGAGAGAACTTCATGTCACTTGATTTTCCATTTTCAGTCTAAGTGCTCATAGAAAAAATGGCCACTTCCTTTTAAGTAAGAGTTATAAAGCCACATTCAACACAAGCATCAATTGTGTCCTTAATTATATCATCTAATCCATGATGAAACTCAAACCCCAGATCTCTCAATTTCTTGTTAGAAACCTCAGAAGGCATCCCATTTTGCTTCTCATCTACAAACCTGCCACAAGAAATTAGAACAACAACCGTGTCAAGTCCCCTATTAATCCCTAGAACAAAATTCCGCTCCTCGAAAAGCAAAAGATATTACCTCTGCAAGATGCTTGGATAGTGTCGGGATAGGCATTCGACCAGCTTTGACAATGGCCAACTCCCGATGCAACATAGGTATCGACCTTTGGCGTCTGCATGCTCCATTAGGAAGATGTGAGCTCTGCATATATCATTGGTGTGAACAAGAGCGACCGATCCAATTCTTTCGTTCACGTTGGATACTATCCCAAGAAAGCGGGGATCGCCTATACAAGGAATTAATTAGATTAGGACCCATGTGGTAATGTCCTCGTTTCTTGTTTCTTGTTTCCATTTTCATTTTTCATTAAGAAACTTAAATGTATTTAATAACCATTCAAGTTTCTTCTTTCTCAAGTAAAACGTTCTCCAAATTGTATAGAAATTTTGGAAGAACTTTTACCGGTTATTGGTGCTGTGAGAACTTGCACGCTGGCTGGGATATTGGAAATGAGGAACGGGCCAGAAACGGTGCTTGTAATTACAGACACAATGTCAATGCCATTTTCATATGCAAATTTAAATGCCGCTTCCTCAGTTAGACGCTTTGAAATTGCATAAATCTGTGACAATCAAAGATAGCAGGACTTAGAGTAGAGTTTCAAAGACACAAACCAAAAGAGTGCGACAATATTGACATGTTAACAAAGTTTTATTTTCTCATAGTGTATCATCTGTAAAGATGTTTGGAATATTTACCCAACCACTTGGTTTAGTCTTCCAGACATGATCCATTGACGTTAGACAAGATTCATCAACAACATGTCTCCGTTCTCCGTTCGCATCTTTACCAGTGAGAGTACTTATCGTCGACGTGAGAACGACCCGCTTCACAGACCCAGATTTCAAGCAAGATTTCAGCAGGCTGATGGTCCCGTTGATTTCCGGGTTAATCACATTTGATTGAACATAATCCTCTTCAAAAGTTTAAGGAGAGAAAAAAAAAAGTTTTATGCTTAATTCATTCTATCATGTTGACAATTTAGAGCGTTAAAATTACCACCGGATCTAGAAGTTTAAAGGGATAGTTTACGATAAATTTATTCTTTTATCAACACTCGAAAAAAAAGGCTTACCAATGTTGTCTTGCTGATCAACACTGAAAGTCATTGAGGCAGCAACATGAAATACACCATCACAGCCCTTAACAGCTTCATCGAAGCTCCCTTCTTCTCGTAGATCAGCTCGAAACAATCGTAAACGATCAGAACCCGTCCACAACGACAACAGGTTCAGAGACTTTTCTGCAGCATTATTATGCCAATATTCAGCGTCAGCCTAAGAATAGTGTTCATAATATATAAATGGGATAATGTAACATAAGTTCATGATAGAGATTTATCTAGCTAGAACAAGAAGTAGAAACATAGAATTGGTACAGAGGGCAAGTTCTTTTATATTTTATATTTTTCTATTGAAATATGTATTATCTCAAGAAATTCATCAAACTTAAAAGAGCAACCAAAAGAAACCAAAAGTTCTAGGCTTGGTTTTTGCCCATTTCTTCCCTGAATTCTCAAACGAATTGGAGGTTATAGCAATCACTTGGATGCCCTTTTTTTAGAGGAATCTCCATATAAATACTATAACTGTAAGACTTTTCATCAAAATAATTAATTTTTTAAAAGATTAAATGTAGTTGCTAAAGGCTCGTTTGACAACGTTATTCTCGTTTTTTGTTACTGTTTCTTCATTTTTAATAATAAAAAAATGATTGCATTGCCCTAACATCCATGAATTCAATTGTGATAAAACAATCTTCTTATTTATGTTTTGGAACAGATTGGAAATGGGAACCAGAAAAAAAAAACTGTTTTGGTTGTTTCCAATAAATTTCTATACAATTTTGAGAATGTTCCCCAAAAGAGAGAAACAAGAAACATAATTAGTTGCCAATGCTAAAAAACCTGGAAACGAGAAACGAGAAACATGAACGTTACCGAGCCATAATTTGGGACAAGTAGATATCTTATTCACTGGATTATGCTCTCGAGATTGACACTAACATGATCCTATTGGTTTGATGATGGCTATTGAGATTAAATTTTCTTTTAATTTATGCCCTATATCCCACGAAATGCTAAACCATGAAAAGCATACTAGAAAAGTATGAACAAAATATTCTACCACTAAATAGATCCATAAAGGGTGTGTTAAGGAGTAATTTTGTCAAAATTACTTTGTCATTGTCAAAATCATTTCCTTGATCAGAGTTGACATATTAAACAATTAATTTTTAAAATATTATTTGGAGGATGATTTTGGAAAATCAATTATACTTAAATCTCTTTTTCCAAAATCACTAATTTCTACTGTCAGTCCCAAACACACTCTAAAACCCCAAAAACCTTTTAACTAGGCATTGTCCCATCTCTTGAAGTACAAGGCATAAAAGTGCAAAACTTTGCATGCATGTATAAAAACATGATTCATAAACTAAAGAAGATGGCCCATTTTGTAGTCTTTATCATACATACTTTGCATGAATCAAGTGAATTTTAGAACCTATTTTATACTTAAATTTTGATTATTTCATTTTAGTCTTTATATTTTCACTGTTTTATTTTGGCATTTTCAAAGCCCCAAATTTGCACCAAAAAAAAAAAAAAAACTGTTACTGTCATTTCCCAATTAATTTCCATGTGTGAATTTAAAATAAGATCTTCTATGATATATAATAATAGTAGAGTTGTGTTTTAGGACACCTGTATCAAATTTAGTATAAAGTTTAAAAATGTGTCAACTATCTATGAAAAATTAATAACTTGATAAAGAACTAAAACAAACTTCTATATGAAAGTTTAATGATATAGAAAAAGAATATTTTAGTATATAAAAACAAAAATAAAATAAATGTAAGAGTACATATATTCAAACTGAGATGACTGTAATTACTGGTACATCAATTCACAAAGTTTATTGTTTATCAAGAATAATGCGAGAGAAAAGAAAAGCTTGTATTTTCTAGTCAAACATTATAAATATTTTGTATTCTAATAAAAACTTATTATTTTCTAAAAATATGTCATTTTTTTACGAGGCTGATTCAGACCCTATTTCTTTTTCTATTTTCTATTTTCTATTTTGTTTAAAGATTGAGATTCTACAGAAAGGTTCAACTTGAAATATAAAATACTCTTTAAAAGATTCATCATAAAAATAAAAATAAAATAAGTTTTTGAAAGCACTCGCAATAAGTTCAAAAATACGTGTTGAAATTGGTGCAATTAATTTAATTATATAGCACTAAACTACAAAGTGGCCTAACTTTCACATTGAATTTATATTCATAACCAAACATGAGTGCAATTTCAGCCCACGTATTTTTTAACTAAAACAAACTAACATAAAATAATAGGGTAATTGTAATGTGTAGAAAAAATAATTGATGTATTTCAAACAAATATCACAAACTTTTCAAAATTTTAAATATAGCAAAATATTTTGAATTTTTATTTTTCGACTTTTTATTATTCCGATTTTACCCTTATGATATATGATCTGACGGTGCAGCGTTCACCTTTTTCTTTTTCTTTTTTTTTAAGCAAGTAGACGTGTCTAGACCAAATTATTACCAATTTGTTAGTTCAGGGACTAAATCGTTACTTTTGAAATTTCAGGGAATAAATCGTTACTTTAATAAAAGTTCAGGGACCAAGGTGTTTTTTTAACTTTATTATTAATATTCATAGGGTTTCCATCTCAAAATCAATTATTATGGGTTCGATTTCAAAACTAATTGACAATGAAAAAAATAGTACATATCTATTATAAAGTCTTATTAGGTCTTTTATCTTATCAACGTGAGATCCTTAACAGTTATAACTAAAATTTTATTTTCCCTCCATTAATATGTGGCGTAAGGACAAAGAGGAAAGGAAAAAACTAGAGAAGAACAAAGCAGAAGAGTAAAAAAAGAGAAGAAAATGAGATCAAACCAGGGTTTCGAAGAGTGGCATGAACTGTGTAACCCCTTTGAAGAAGAAGCTTGACCAACCAAGAGCCAATGAAGCCAGTGGCACCAGTAACACAGTAAGTTGCAGATTTTGACCCTCTTCCATCTTCATCTTCTACTGTTTTCCCATCCAAATTCCTCATTTTTTCTTTCTCAAATTTCTCTCCACCCCTTTGGATGACATTATTAGTTTCCCATCCCTGCTTTAAAAACTGAGGAAAAAGCCAAGAAACGGGCGACTGAAAAACCACAATAAATTGTTTAACAAACTAGGCCTCGACGAGTGTGTGATTACAATAAAACAATGTGTACAAGACAAATAGAATAGGTGTGAGCTACGGTACCCTTTGGCTTGGCCTGCCTTTAACTTTCTATCTGCCAACAAAACAACAAAAAGTACACCTAACCTTTTTCTTTTCTTGGTACTGCATCACATGACACATGTACGGTATCGAAAATGCAACTAAAGTTCTACGTCCGATACACTGTATGAAGGAAAGATTATTGGTATATGGTAAAATCGTAGCGATTATATCTAAAATTGACAATATGATACTATTGTGTGAATATGTTAAATCTTTACTATTCATTAGCTGTTATTGCAAAGGCGTGATATAATATGTGTCATTGTAAACTTTATTTTAAATGGGTTCTGATCGGATTTGGAAAGCTAAATCCCAACCACTCCCTTACCACATATATGTTGTATGCTACCCCTTCAAACTCAAACTCCACTATTGAAATTTGTGTGAAGGGAGGGAAAAAGTAAGATTCTACCCACTAGGCATGATCCGCTCAGACTCAATAATTAAGACATCTTACTCCTTTTATTGAGGTTGGAAGTTCAAATTCTTAACGATAGTTTTTCATGATCTTTTGAATCATAGAATTCGTTTTTATTGCCAAAGTGAATATATCTCAGGATAATTGACATATATCTTCAACCAACAAGTTATGAGTTCGATTTCCAACTCCACATGTACATTTGTTTTTGATCAATTTCTAGTTTTTAATTCTAGACATGGATATTAGAATCGAATCAGACATTAGACTTTAACTTACTGGGAGAGATTGATAAATTATATTCTTGCGTGAGAAAGATAATAATTGACATGATTTTATAAATCAATTAGTGAAATCAAATTTCTAGAAGTTTTTTTTAGTCTTTTCAATATTTTTAGTTTAAATTTTAAAAAACTTTTAATTTGATTTATCTAAAGTTCGAGTGAATCTTTTTATTTGATTTATCTAAAGTTAGAGTGAATCAATTATAGTATTTAGGAAGGAAGATTTGTAAGTGATGGTAATCTTTTCCTTTGTATCAAGTCTTCGACACTATTAATATTCACGAAATTSTGTCTCAAAATTAATTGGTAAAACGAGAGGAATAACTGAGGTATATTATAAACTTTTATTAGGTTCATAATCCTTCTTATGAGAAGATAAAAGAACGGATCAAATGATAGGAGGGAGATTCGGGCGTGCGAATCGGGCAAGCATTGAAGCTTGTCGATCAAGTCGACTCGAGTCGACCACAACCGGCCAGTGGTTGGTGCCGAGACCTTCTCGACCAATGGTCGAGAACGTCCTTTGGTTCTCTCTCGACCTTTGTGCCGCCCGACCCGAACCTATCTTATTTCGACCCCGATTCGACATTAAGCCCACAACCAAACGCATGAGTCCAAGAGTCCAGTTCTCTTTAGCACACTAGGGTTCAACTTATGTAAATCTTAAAGGGATTGAGATTCGACTTCCATTATTCCTAAATAGACTAGGATTTGACTTCTATAAATAAAAGGGTGAACCAAACTCTAAAGGTACGCCTAAATACCCTACTCTCTACTCTCGACTATTTTGATACTCACTTAAACATTGGAGCCCATGTGACTCGCAGGAACCACGCCGGTCTTAGGGTTATTTTGGCTTTGCAGGTCACGTAGATCACTTTTATTGTAGAAGATTGGTGTGAATTTGGCAAAATCCACAGAGCCAAATTTCTACATTAACAATCTTATATTTTTTCAATTCAATGTAGCATCCTTAACATGTCCTTCAATTTGAGATGATGTTTTTTTTGGGCTCACCAATTTTGATCGAAACAGGATTGTAGTATTGCAAATCGTGAATACTCCCTCCATAATTGTTATACTAGAAAACAAAATTGAACAACTGAGGGTGGTTATTTTTTTTAGTTTTTGATTTTTGAAAAACAAGCTTGTTTGATAACCGATTCAATCTACCATGTCTCGACTCATCCCCTATTTCATTTTTTAAATAATGAATATATATTTTATATTAACCATTTTACTAAATTATGAATAAAATATTAAATATTTTTTAAAACTAATTATTTATACTAGTAAATAATTATTTTTCAGTAAAACTAATTAGTATTCTTTTTTATTTCTTAAATTCTAGAAATAATTAAATTTAATTACTAAACTGATAGTTTTTTTTTTGCAAAGATACTCGTCTACAAAATGCGAATTCTTTGACTTGGACTTTGATGTCCAAAATCAGAGAATGACGTGGAGGGGACAAAAAAAATTTCCACGAGCATAGGGAGGGCATCTCGACTCGTGCCCCATTCCATTGTCATCTCTACTTTATATAAATTTTTCTCTATAACATACCTCTTCAAATCTCTTAACTTTTAAAAAATCGAAAACTAAAAATCGTAATTAAATGGGCCGCTTAATAATCATTTCGTCATTTTCTAATTTTGTTTTTTTAGTAAATAGGCTTGTTTGATAATGAATGTTTTTTAAAAATGTTTTCGAAAATCTAAATAAATTAATTAAAAAAAACGTAGCTTTTTAAAACAGATTTCTAGTTTTTTAAAAATAATATTTTTATTTGATCATTTTTTTTCTTTGACATATTTCTTTTTCAATTTAATTTGTTTCTTTCCTAATTTTCTCCTTCTAGAAAATTTATATTTTTCTCCTTGAAATTTTCCATCTCTAGAATATTTACTATTATTTTTCTCTCTCCAAATTTTCGATCTCTATATATTTTTATTTTTTTTCAACATATCACTCTCGTTTTTCTCTCTCTAAAAAGTTTAATATTCCCAAACTTTTCTCTCCATCAAATTTCACCTTTTATAACTTTCTTTCTCTTTCAGATAAAGTTTTAGAGAGTAGAGAGTGGATGAAAAGCTAGCTTAAATTGCTTATATTGAATATAAAAACAACATTTACATCAAAGGAAAGATTACATAATAAATGGGAATATTACAATACCAGTAAGTATCTCATATATTAACCCATGATGAATATTCAATCAATCACCTAAGATCATGGGTCAATGATTTGCTTGATATGAGCAATGCTATCATAGAGCAAATCTTGACATTCCAAATTTATGGTACCATCATATGATTGTCGTAACATTCCCCCTCAAACGAGTGAGGGAGATAACCACATCGAGTTTGGTTCGTAATTCAACAAACTTGGCTTGAAAAGCTAGCTTAAATTGCTTATATTGAATATAAAAACAACATTTACATCAAAGGAAAGATTACATAATAAATGGGGAATATTACAATACCAGTAAGTATCTCATATATTAACGGATGATGAATATTCAATCAATCACCTAAGATCATGGGTCAATGATTTGCTTAATATGAGCAATGCTATCATAGAGCAAATCTTGACATTCCAAATTTATGGTACCATCATATGATTGTCGTAACATTTCCCCTCAAACGAGTGAGGGAGATAACCACATCGAGTTTGGTTCGTAATTCAACAAACTTGGCTTCGGGAAGAGCTTTAGTTAGGCAATCAGTCAATTGATCACTTGAAGGAACATATCGTACATCAAGTTGTTTGGTAGGTACCTTGTCACGCACAAAATGTACATCTAATTCAACATGTTTGCTTCGAGAGTGAAATACTGGATTAGCTGCTAAAGAAATGGCACTGATATTATCACACCAAACCATTGATGTGCTTGGTAGAGGGATTTGAATTTCCTTAAGTAATGATTCAAGCCAGAAAATTTCAGATGCAATAAGGGCAAGAGCTCGATATTCTGATTTTGTACTTAAACGTGCCACAACATGTTGTTTTCGAGATATTCAAGAGACAAGAGTATCACCAAAAAATACACAATAGGCCGCAACAGATTTTCTATCATCTGGACAACATGCCCAATCGGCATCACAATACCCTATCAAGCTTAGCTGATTGGACGGTTGAATTAGTAATACATGATTAAGGGTTCCTTTTAAGTACCTCAACACCCTCTTTGCCGCTTGCCAGTGGGTAGTGGTTGGATTCTGTTGGAACTGACTTAGCTTGTTAACAATAAATGAGATTTCAGGCCGTGTATTGGTGAGATATTGAAGTGCTTCTATAAGGCTTCGGTAGTTAGTTGGATTAGCAAGACTTTCACCTTCATATGTTGAAAGTGTTTTCCCTGAAGCAGCAGGTGTGGAGCAAGGTTTTATATGCTGCAATTCAAATTTGTTTAGTAAATCAGTGATATATTTCCCTTGGCTTAGGTATATACAACTCTTGTCACGATAGACTTCAATGCCAAGAAAAAAGGTTAAGTCTCCGATGTATTTCAAAGCAAACAGTCTATTCAATTCACTTATGAAACGCTTGATCATTTGAACATCATTTCCAGTTATTACTATGTCATCGACATAGATTAAAAGGAACAACAAGGTGGTACCTGATTGGAAGTAGAACATTGATGTATTTGCCCTTGAGTTTAGGAATCCCCAACCAACAAGCGCACTTTTTAGCTTGTTGTACCATGCTATTGGCGCTTGTTTAAGGCCATATAAGGCCTTTGTTAATTTGCATACAAAATCAGGATGTTGTTTATTAAAGAAACCTTGAGGCTGCAACATATAGACTGATTCTTCTAGCTGACCATTGAGAAATGGATTATTTATATCTAATTGATGTATGCACCAACTATTCGATACAGCAATAGTTAGTATAATGCGAATGGTTGAAGCTTTCACTACTGGACTGAAAATTTCAGTGAAGTCAACACCGGGCGTTTGGTGAAAGTCTTTTGCTACCAACCTAGCTTTATGCCTCTGTATACTACCATCTGGATTATGTTTCAACCGAAACACCCACTTATTCCCTATCAAATTGTATGATTCTTTATATGGGATAAGTGACAAAGTGGAATTTTTGTGCAATGCCTCCATTTCCGCAATTATAGCCTGTTTCCATTCTGGGATTAATAATGCTTCTTTGACATTTTTGGGCTCACTGTTAGTACAAGTAGAAGAAGAGTTAGGAAATTGAGATAAGAAATTCCAGACCTTGGGCTTGAAGATCCCACATTTAGAGCGAGTTTGCATTGGGTGTGAGGAAGCTAAATTTTCACTTGTTCTCTGGATAATAGGAGTAGAAATGCTTGGACCAATATCAAATATTTTCCATATCATTGGCTGCTGGTGTTGGGTCATTAATGGGCTGCCTCTGATTGTCATTATTATTGAACAACACACCTTGATTCAACACACTTGATGGTGATGGTGGAGGCTGGTCAGTTATTGAACTTTCATTGTTGTTGCTAGGAGAGAACAAAATTGTTTGGTTGTCCAAACCTTGGCTTGTACCAGGTGAAATTTGGGATGGTGGGGAGCTATTTAGAAGATTTTGAGGGTTGCTTTGAGATGAAAAATGATGTTGCTGAGAGGTGGGATTTATCCATGTAATGATAGTTTCATGAGATGTTTCGTTGGCAAGACTAGTTGTTAAGAAACTAGATTTAAAAGGAAACTCGCCCTCATTAAACACATTTCGAGATATGTAGACTCTCCCAGTTGAACTCAAGCATTTGTAACCTTTGTGAGACTCACTATACCCAAAAAAAAAAAAACACATTTTGTGGAGTGAAATTAAAATTTGTGAGATTGATAGGGCCTTAGACAAGGAAAACAAGCTGAACTGAATACTTTAAGGAAATTATAATCGGGTTGTTGGTGATATGCCTTTTCCCAAGGAGAGAGATTGTTAAGAACGAGTGTAGGTGCTCGGTTTATGATGTACACAGCTATAAAGAAAGCATCCACCCAATATCGAAGGGGCATTGAAGCTTGGGCTAACAAAGTTAAACCCATCTCCACAATGTGACGATGCTTTCTCTCAACTATGTCATTTTGTTCACTGGTGTGAGGACAATGGTGTCTAAATTCTATCCCTTTTTCTTTTAGATGTGGAGAAAACACTCTAAACTCGCCTCTCCAATCAACTTGTACAATTTTTATTTTCCTTTCAAACTTATTTTCCATGAGAGTTTGATATTAAATAAAAGCTGACAAAGTTTCTGATTTATTTTTCAAAGGAAAAATAGAAGTTAGGCGTGTGTGGTTGTCAACAAAACTCGCATAGTATTTGTAACCGGAAGTTGAAGGAGTTGGAGAGGGTCCCCCAAAGGTCGCAATGTATAAGTTCAAGTGGCGCTTGAGTCTTAAAAATGGATTTGCCAAAGGGAAGAGGGTGAGATTTGCCATATTGACAAGCATCACAAAAGTCTAAACTTTCATTAGCTGGAATTTTAACATTGCAAAAACGTAAAACAAGACTTAATACTCTTTTTGATAGATGTCCTAATCTCTGATGCCATAAAGTGCTTGGAGATTTTTGGACTACATGGACTTGGGGACTAGAAGACTGACACTCAGAATTGACTTGAGCAACATGGTGAGTAGATTGCATTGCTCTTTTATTTTGGATAAACTTTGATCTTTTGGGTTTCAGAAGGTCTAGTTGGTACAAGCCTTGGTTAAGCTTCCCTTCCAGCATTATTCTCCCTGTTTCCTTGTCCTTAACATAGCAACAACAAGAGTTAAATTCAACAACAGCTCGGTTATCAGCAGTCAATTGGGATATGCTTAGTAAATTCCTTTTAATTTGAGGCACATGAAGTATGTTGTTCAAGAAGATAGACATACCATTGTTTCTTTTTGACAAATAACAGTAGATCCAACATGGGCAATAGCTAGTTTATATCTATTACCTACTGTGAGGTTTTCATTCCCTTGATATTCTGCTTGCTGACCAAGATTTGTAGCATCATTTGTTTTATGATTTGTTGCTCCACTATCAATTAACCAGTTTGGATCAATAATAACTTCAGGTCCAGTAATGTAGGCATTTGGAGCTTGATTTCCTCCTTGTGGAGTGTTTCCCATGTATTGCATATTTAATCTGTGATAACATACAACAGCTAGATGACCAATCTTGCCACATACCTGACATGTAGGCCTTGAACTATTTGATCTCTGACCTTGAAATCTTCCCCCTCGGTTTCTACCTCTTGAGTTTCGTCCTTGACCTCTACCTTGCCCTTGTTGGTGTGGATTCCAATTTTGGCTTACACTTTTGTTGTAAGTATAGTTGGCTGAGGGACCAGAGACATCTGCAATACTGACATTGTTGAGGTGAATCAATATATTCTCGAATGTGATAAGTGTTGCATGAACCTCTTGCCAAGATATGTTTTCTTTGGCATTTATCTGACAGATAATTTGGAGGTACTCGGCATTGAGTCCTGTGAGGACACTTGAAAGGAGAGAGCTTGTACTGATAGGTTCACCTGCAAGAGTTAAACAATCAGCAAGTTGTTTCATAGTAGAAAGGTAATCACTCATCTTGAGTTGATTTTTTCTAGTAGTTTGGAGACTCGTCTTTAGTTGGTTTATTCGAGCCTTGTTGGCTGTTTCATAGAGATCTTCTAACGCCTTCCAAACATCTCGAGATGTCGCCATACTTAGAACATCACAAGCAATAATGGGACTCATTGAGCCATATAACTAAGCAAGCAAGGACTGATCGGTGGAAACCCAACTCTCATGAGTTGGATTTGGAATCATTGTTCCAGTTTTTGTGCATTTAATTTCTGCAGGCGGCGGGGTTGTTCCCAGGATGAATTTGTCGAGTTTTTGCCCACGCATCACTGCAAGAACCATCGATTTCCAAAAGAGATAGTTTTTCTCATCAAGTTTTACGGTGAGGACTGTGTTGAGAGGATTTCCAAAGGGTGTGATGGTTGCTGGTGCAGCAGTGTTGGAAGTTGATCCTT